GAGAGAGGCGGTCATTAATAAGGGAGAAGACTGTGAACAAAATTATTGGAAAATGATTGGTGAAGTTTTTATTAGCGTATTAGAAGAGCGATGCGGCGCATGCAATCACATTATAGGAATTACCATCCATGCATTAAGTTAAACGCGATCGAATGATCCACGCTCTTATAAAAGCATTAATGCTCTTGTTTTTTAAAGAATCAGCAATACAAATGTGGATTGCTTAAAACTTGTATCAACAGTAAAGACAGAATTTGTTTAAAATAACATCAGGAACATGGCTATATGCATACGATTCTTGACGTTAAATAAAGAGTATCATAATAGCTACTTTATTAGTGCTGTCATTTAATACCTCCTCACAAGGGTTCTTTTTCTTTTTCTTTTCAAAAATGTAAGGAATTGAAAATGAAACAAGAAAATGAACAAAGAAGACAGTTCTTTTTCTTTTTCTTTTTTTTTCCTGGTGGTGACGTGTGTGAAAAATATGGCTTTGGTAGGATAGATGCAAAGCAAAGAATCAAACTTTAGTTAGAAGGCAAGTAATGTCAATTTTGTAGTGTAAAAGCTTTGCGCCAGCTATAACTCCAATGTGAATTGAAAAATTCCTCAATCTTTTTGAACCATCTCAAAGACAAGATAAACGGCAGCTTCGGTAGATTGACAAAATTCGTCTTGTGATGAAATTTTAACATACATTTTCGGACGTTCTTCTTCTATTAAGGACATGGGTTTCTAAAAGTTTAGTTTCTTTAGATTTGCAAGTGGATCAGCAATCAACACAACGAAATAATGTAAAATGATTCGTGTAATCGACTTTAAATTATAGATATAATTCGGAATTAATATTCCTATTCAGTCATGAGTCATGGACAAACATAGATGTATAATTAGTTTCTCAAGTTTGACACATTTGTTAGTTCTACCTTGATAAATGATGTCTCTTCAAATAATGTTCAAAAAACATCTTAAAGAGTTATTAGATAATTTTGATGCTATTTATTTAAATTGCCCAAATAGTGAATCGGCTGGGAAGGGCTGTAAAAATGTATCAAATAGGAGGTTAGGGCAAATTTAAGAACAAATTAAAAAAGGGATAATTGCAGCAGAAGTCTTAAATCTTTTAAACACTTATTTAGCGGATTTCTGGTTTTGGGTTTAGGGGATGGGGATGGGGATGGGCTGAGGGAGAAGAAGACAATTTTTCCTTCCTTTTTTTTTTCAAGTTTTTTTTAATTAATTTATGGGGAAAATATTAAGTTACTATTTTGCCCTTTTAAAAGTGAGTAAAATGTGGTCAAAATCACTTTTTTAGGTTAACTAACGGTAAATTAGATAGATTCCATCTAAAAGTGCCTCACATGTAATGTTTTAAAAGGTTTGTGGTGGCGGCAACAACAAGTGAAATGTTAGGGACTACTAGTGTGTAACACGTTTGGGACTTCTGCTACAATTATCCCTTAAAAATATATATAAATGTTCTTAACATCACTTGCACTACTACATCGCGAAATATTAAATTAAAATAGAATTATCCAATCAATTTAATTGGACATTTTTTTCACCTGAATTCCAACTTTTTGAGTGTTCAATTGCCATTTTTCAAAGGAAAATATTTCTCAATTGTTGAAAATATGCATAATCTTTCTTATTTTTGATGAAAACATTTCCTTTACGAGGAGATGTGTTTTTGTTTTCCTCAAAACAAGGAAAACACTTCTTTTCAAGTAAATATTTGTCATGCCAATCAAATATACCCTTAATATCACTTAGAGCGTGTTTGAATGACTTTATTTTCATGAAAAATATCATTTTTCTATACAAATTTTAACTTTTTGGATGTTTGATTGACAATTTTTATCATGAAAAATATTTTTTAATTTTTGATCATGTGACTATATTTTACTCAAAGATAGGGAGAGGTAATTTTTATTTTCACTGTCTCTCTCTCTCATCTATGACCAATAAAAAATGAAAGAGTACAATATTTTCTAGGTTAAAAACTAAATCAATTAAACACATTTAATTTATAATTTTCATACAAATAAGTTTTCAGCAATTGAATTGCTTAGAATTTATTTTCTTTCGGTGCAAATTTCATGCTCGTGATCAAACGCACCATTAATTTCACCTATACTGCTATTGTAACACCAATGATACTAAATATCATTAATAATAATGAACGAAAGAAAGGTTTTTTTTTTTTTTTT